ATACACCACTGTGTGTGGACATCATCCTTATAATAGTATATGATTATGCAAGACGGCAAATACATGTATAGGATGAATTATCAAAAAATAGGAATTCACTGGGTGTCCTGTTTTTGCAGTTATATCATACAATTTGTAGAATAGTTTTTTTTCAATTTTTCAATGTTTTTTGCTATTTCTCTTAGTAGAAACAAGATTTGCTTATTGGTTGGCATGGTATAAATAAAAGCCGGGAAATAGAATTTGTCTGGCCCATTTTTTTACATCTCCATTTATCTTCATTCATTCATTCATTCATTCATTCATTCATTCATTCATTCTTTCTCTCATTCCTTCCTTCCCAGGTTGATTGTCGCTGTCCTGGATGCCTTCCACTTCGACTTGTCCGTCCTGGATGCAAAATCAGAAAACTCTCCGCAAGAAAACGAAGACATCTTACAAGAGGAGGAGGAAGAAAAACCTGAAGAGGAAGAACCAGAGGAAGAAGTAGAGGAGACTATGGAAGAGGAAGAGATGGAAGAGGAAGAAGAGGATGATGCAGTTGCTATAGAAACCGGGGAGGACAAACAGAAGGCAGAAGCAGAGATGATATTCCAGACTCTGACCGACGTGGTCCTGCCCAAACTGCACAGGGGGCTCACTCAGAAGGTGATGAAATAAAGCTTCTTTCACAAATGATTTCCAGCTGTTATCAAACTAGTAGATGACTGTCACTTTAAGTTGGACAGAATGTGCTAAGAATGTAAACCATTTTCATCACCTAGCCAGAACAAAAAGACTTCAGAACTCTTTCCTACATCAGTCCATCAGACTCTACAATCAGACTGTATAATCAGAATTATGGTACTTGTTATGTCTGGGATGTACAGTTCATATTAGAATTTTATAGAAGTATGTATGTATGTGATTATTTATTGTAAATATTATCAATGTCATTCAAGCAACATTATATGATAACGATATGTATGTCTGCAATGTCTATATGATAATAAGGAAAGAAAGAACTATCAACATTGACCTCTGACCCTGTTGCCATGGTGATGTCTGCAGGTGAAGAGCGAGGAGGCCCATAAGAAGGCCCGTCTCCATGCCGACAGCGAAGAGGAGCTTCTGCGTGTTCCCGTTGCCCTGGCAACGGTCAAGCTGCTGCAGAAACTTCCGGGAAAGGTTCTGCGGAACAACCTGCAGGGGTGAGCCATTATGTATACATGGGTGGGTGTAGGTTATGGGGGTGTTTCATGATGTATGCAAGGGGGGGTCAAAAACTTCAGGGAAAGGTTTTCAGGAACAGCCTGCAGGGGTGAGCCATTATGTATGCATGAGGGGGTGCAGGTTTTAGGGGTGTTTCATAATGTACATTGTATGTAAGGGGGATCAAACACCTGCATGAACATCAGGGAAAAGTTCTTAGGAATAGCCTGAAGGAGTCAGTATGTAAAAAAAAATTTGTTGACCTCATTGTTACTGAAGGTGTACACGAACCTTGCTGAAAGTTTGTTTGTGTTTCAGAGTGCTGCTGAATGTTTGTTTATTTGTGTTTTAGAGCGTTGCTGAAGGTTTTTTTATTTGTTTGTGTTTTAGAGTGTTGCTGAAGGTGTGTTTGTTTGTTTATGTTTCAGAGTGCTGTTGAAGGTGTGCAGCCTGCTGAAGAGTCGTTCGGAAGACATCCGTGAGACGAGTCGCTCCACGCTGGTGAAGATCCTGACGTCTCTCGGGCCGGCCTTCTTCCCACAGATTCTGCGGGACCTGCGACACTGCCTCACTAAGGGCTACCAGGTGCAGTAAAAATTCCTTCTTTCCTGTTACGGGAATTAGGGAAAATTCTGGGGACTACAAGGGGGAAAAGGAAATGTTAAAGACACTTCAAAACATACTCCAGTTCAATATAAGAAAGCTTCCAAAGTTTAAAATAAAGAAAGCAAATACTAATACAACTGTACAAACAGGTTAAATGTTTAATGCTAATTATTCTATTATAATAGTAATCACAAAGTAAATGATCGATCCTGATGACTTTACAGGTGCATGTGCTGACGTACACCACACATGCACTGCTGAAAAGTATGGAGGACAGGCTAGAACCAGGTGGCCTGGACCGGTGCATTGACTCACTGGTGGAGGTGTTGAATGAGGAGTTGTTTGGAAAGCTTGCAGAGGAGAAAGAGGTGGAAGGAATCACCTCCAAACTGAAGGAAGCAAAGAGCAGCAAGAGCTCGGACTCCTACGAGACGCTGGCCAAGTTTGTCAGCAAGACGTCTCTGGCCAGGCTGGTGCTGCCACTCAAGGAGGTTCTTGAGTCAACCCAGAGTCTTAAGACATCTCGTAAGGTGCAGGACGTTCTGTCTAAGATCGTGAGCGGTTTGATGAGGAACCCTGCACTCAGCCCTGATGTCCTCCTCATTTTCTCCCACGGGCTGGTCACAGAGAGTCTTCCTCTCATCACAGGTCAAGTCAAGTAAGGCAGCAATAATCAATTATCAGGAGTTACTGTAAAGAAATGAAAACTTGAAATGGTATGGCCATGTGTCATGGTCATCAGGAGTAGCCAAGTCATAAAAAATGCAAGGATGGTATCAGAGAATGAGGCCAATTTGATAAGTTTGGCTTTTCTTCCTTTTACATGTATATGTAAGTCTTAACTATATTAACTATGTTCCTCCTCACTATGTACTAGATATTAAATGGCTAGAATAATGGCTTTGAAAAATCGGGTTTCCAAACCCTAAAAACTGCACTAGATGCTTTTTAGGCTTACACGATGTTTATGATCTTTAAGTTTGTCTTACATATTAACTATGTTCCTCCTACCCCCCACACCCTAGGGCTAAGCTGTCGGCCGCCCCACCCCCAGACCCCCGACTGCGTCCGGAGAGCTGCCTTATCCTGCCCCCCACCCCCCACAGGCCGGGCTCCAAAACCCACGTCAGCACCAAAACCAACAAGCACGTCCTGGTGGAGTTTGGGCTTCAGCTCCTACACCACTGCATGAAGCGAGGCCACCTATCGGCCGGTGAGGTACTGCACCTGCAGATGCTGGACCCATTTGTTGGCCAGCTGTACGACTGCCTCAAGTCCAAACACGTCAAGGTACGTAAGGAGTTACGCTATCTACTGCATAATGTTTATAATCTTGAAATTACTTAACCCTTGTCCTGCTGGACTTTTTTTTTTTTACACATTTTCAAGTAATATGGAGTCTTAATCAGGTCAAAGACCCTTGAATTTTTTTGCCCCGCGGCGGCGTAGTTACTTCTGCATTCGTTGAGTTTTGATGTGGTTTGATGCGTTGCACGAGAAACACCCCCAAATCATACATACACAGGGCACTATATGGTACTGTATGTGCAACATATATATGGGTCCCACAGGACAAGGGTTTTAAAATTTGTTCCTCCTCAGAAGTTTTAGTTTTTAGAACTTGCTAGTGATATATGAGTGGAAAAGAATTGTACTTATACATTGATGGAAGTTAAGTTATTCAGTACTGGACAATCAAAGTCTTTTCTCAGTGATGAAATCTGCTAGTACTGAGACTATGATAGTCATCAATTAGCTGAAGCTCTTAATATTCCTCTTATGGACTCTTCTTGGCTGATTTTTACTTTAAATCGGCAATTTCTCTCCCTTTTCTATTGTATTTTTCAAGTAAAAATCAGCCAAAAAGTACTGAATGACTTAATTTCCATCAATGTCAATTATTCTTTTCCAATCACTACCAACTAAAACTTTTGAGGAGGAATAAATTCCTTTTAGTAAAAAGATGTTAGCCAAAGTCATCCTCACCAAACTTACCTCGTTCCCGATGTCCCTAGATCATCACCATGGCGATGAGATGCCTTACCTGGTTCCTGAGGTTCCCCCTCCCGTCGCTCAAACAGAAGGTCGCAAAGGTCGCGGGCGAGATGTTCCTCATCCTGAAGAAATATGGCGGCGCGGGAGGGTCAAAGGGCGAGAACTTTGACCTCGTGGTCACATGTTTCAAGGTAGGCCATTATACATGTACACAGCACGTCAGCAGAATGTACTGCGCCTGCGCAGAACCCCGCATTTTCGCGTTTTTCGTTGGATTTTTGGTCAACGTTGCATCAGAATTTTGTCTGTTGCAGAGGATACCTTTTCCTACACAACATTTGGAAACTACATGTACTGTCGAAATGCTAACCTTATATGAGCGAATACGACCTTATATGAGACATTCTGCGGAAGTGCTATGTACAATACATTACGGGTTTTGTGCAGGTGCAGTACGTTCTGCCGACGTGTTATTATACATGTACAGAAATGTACAATTTAGGTCGGTTGCCCATTCATTTCTATCAAATTGATTCTCAATGGGGCCAAGACTACAAATTAAAACATTAAAATCATCAGGCTAGTATAAGAAAGAAAATTGACAAGTAACACCCAGGGGATGGTGAGACATATTAAGTAACATAGGTAACCAGAAGTATATTATATATATTAAATATATATTTTAACACAAATACATGTGACACATGAAGACATAAAATTGTAAAAGCCACAGGGCATGCACATTACAATGAACCTGTAAATACTGTACATAGCGTCTGTCTTCTCTGTCATGACCAGTGGAAGAGTACAGTGTAGCTCTTCAATGAGCTAAACTGGTTTGAGATCACTATCTTTCTTTCTGTTTTTTCCCCTAGGCCCTGACAGTGCTGGTTAAAGATGTGAAGTACCATAGTATTGACCAGGACCAACTCAGGGTCTTACTACAGTATGCGGAGCAGGATATTATGGACTACACCCGACAGGCGACTGCCTTCTCACTGCTAAAGGTGGGTTTAGGTTTGCTTTACTTCTCAAATGGTTGCTGTTAAGCACGTCAGCAGTATGTACTGCACCTGCACAAAACCTGTAAATGTATTGCGCATAGCACTTTGGGAGAACATCTCATACAACGTATAAGGTTGTATTCGCGCAATGGAAATTGGTGTTGGAAATTTTGAGAAGTTCTGTAATCCATGAGTATCTGACTCATTGTGTTTCATGGCAGTAATAGTAGCTGTTAGTAGTTAGACTAATTTAATTCTAGGACAGTTTGGGCCACCCTGAATGAAGTTATTGGTTTGCTTATTTATTGGTGTTGTTGATTTTCTAGGCGATCCTGTCACGTAAGCTTGTAGTCCCGGAGATGCATGACGTGATGGGCCGCATCGCCGAGCTGTCAATCAAGTCTGAGCTGGACAACGTCAGGGTGCAGTGCAGACAGGTGGGAGGTCAAATAACCTTCTCAAGGTCAAATAGCTCATGGTCAAATAACCTGCACAAGGTCAAATAATTCAAGGTCAAATAACCTGAAAATAGCAAAAGGTTAAATAGCTCAAGGTCAAATAACCTGCACAAGGTCAAATAATTCAAGGTCAGATAATCTGAACATAGTTAGCGCAAGGTTAAATAGGTCAAGGTCAAATAACCTAAAGTGAGCCAGCACAAGGTCAAATTATTCAAGGTCAAATAACCTAAAGTAATAAAATTATTGTTACAAATGTAGTCAGCACAAGGTCAAATAATTCAAGGTCAAATAACCTAAAGTTAGCACAAGGTCAAACACATCTATCTCAAGGATGAACAGTTCAAGGTGAAATAACTGACAAATAACTGAAGGTTGTATGCTTGGAATTTCTTGTAATCTAAGCCTATGGAGGATGAAAATGTGAATAATAAAATTGCAGAATCTTCTGTCATTCATGAGAGAAATTTTTGTGCCCCCACACCTCAGGTGTTTGGTAAGTTCCTGATTGACTACCCGCTGGGGAAGAAGCTGCACCGTCACCTGGAGTTCTACGTGCGCCAGCTGAGCTACGCCGTGGAGGCCGGCCGGGAGTCCGCGCTCGAGATGATCGCTACCGTCTTCTCATCCTTCCCTCAGGTTAGCTTTTCTTCAGACTGCAGAATTATACTTTATAGTAAGAACTCTTTCTCTGACAAGTGTTTCCCTCCTGAATACAACCCACAGGCCTTTAAAACCAGCATGAGAAACCCTCAGAAGACGAGAAACAACTGACAAACCGGATAGTGAGTGAGTGGGTCAGATACAAATTTTGCTCACAGAAAGTTCAAGGAAGCGGTCCACATCCAGTTGGAACGTGCCGGGATGAATCGCAATGAATGAAGGTTGGGAGCTGCCCAAGTCCTACCAGAAGATCCACACATTCAAGTTTCCAACTAGTCTTGTGTTCTCATGAGACTACGTCACTCCGTGATCAAGATGTACTGTAGACATTGAAGAATATTCTGCTAACTGCTCACATCTTTTTCTCGTTCTTTAGACCCTTTTGGAGGAGTATGCAGCCTTCTTCTTCGTCCCGTTGGCCAGCCGTCTCATCAATGACGACTCGGCAAAATGTCGCAAGCTCACCGCCCTGGCCGTCAAGTCCCTGCTGGGCAAAGTGGGAATCCCCACCAGGGACAGCCTCTTCACCATCACCGCTCAGTGGCTTCAGGACGATGGCAAGGTCGGTCTTCTTCTTCTTCTTTCTGTAAGGCGAAGATTTTGTTGCTGTGTCTCACATCAACGTTAGCTATTAGGGTCAGCTGCTGCAACCATTTTAAATTGTACCATTTGAAAGATGATCATAATGGTCTCTTATCATTAATATCTGTGTGTGTGTGTGAGTGTGTGTTTGTGTGTTTGTGTATGTGTGTGTTTGTGTGTGTTTGTGTTTGGGCGTGTGTGTGTGCGTGTTTGTGTGCCTCACAGTGCGTGTGTGTGTGTGCGTTAGTGTGTGTGTGCGTGTGTGTGCGTATGTTTGTGTGTGTGCGTGTGTGTGTGTTTGTGTGTGTGTGTTCATGTGTGTGTGTTCATGTGTGTGTATGAGTGTGTGTTTGTGTGTGTGTGTGTGTGGTAACCTGTACATGTATGTGTGTGTGTTTGTCTGTATTTGCTAAATTTTAATCTCTGATGCCTCATGTTTTTGTTGTGTTTTTCCTGACTTTTGTAGATCCTGCACCAGAGAGCCCAGCTCTGCAGCCTGTGTGTTTGTCTGTCTTTGCCTAAATCTAATCTTTGCCTCGTGTTTTTTTATGTTTTTTCCTCACAGATCCTGCACCAGAGACTTGCAGCCCAACTCTGCAGCCTGTTTGTGGAGGTGGAGAAACTGCAGTTCGAGCGCAGACTGCCAGGGGTCCTCCCTCAGATGTTGGAGGTCGTTGACCCCGACCGGTACGAGTCAATGCCTGCTGAGGAGATGAGCCAACAGCTGAGACAGGAGGACCACCTGCTGTACAGCGCCCTCTCCTGTCTGGTCAAGGTACTGCAGGAGTGCGCCATTGTCGTCAGAGGGGTGGAGCACAGGAGGGACCTTAACGCAGTCTGGGGTGAGTTTCTTTTGGAATAGTTTTGGTAAATACATCGTTTGTGCTGTTCCACTTTTTTTAAAAAGTTGTTCACTTTCGTTTCTCTTCTTCTCAAGCACCTACATTGCTGTACTGCACCCTCACATATACATACATATATAGGCCCTTCTTTGTCTTTTCTGCTTAGCCCCATTGCTGGGATAAATAGCAGGTCCTGCTTAGCATTCATTCATTCATTCATTCATTTGTTATTTTGAAGAGTCCACACAGAAACACTGGTTGCATACCCATGCGTCCAGCTGGCCTGAGCAGTTCTCCCATCTTTCATTCATTTACTTATTCATTCATCCATCCGTCCATCTATCCATCCATCCACCCATCCACCCATCCATCCATCGATTCATCCATTCGCCTAAAAACATTGTTTTTGCTCAGTTTCCTCTTTTTCCGTTCCAAACACTGACCTCTGACCTGGTCAATGACCAGACTGTCTCTCCCCATAGTAACCGGTGTTAGGTTACACCATGTTGCAGTTTTTTAGTCACCATATATATGAATGTGTTTGAGTAAGAATTAACAGAGCAGACCATATGCGAAGGTTAACATTATGCACTTGCTTTGAAAATGTATACCTTTCTAGTATTCATGAAATATTCCTTTGTTTTTCTCCCCAGAATCCGTGCAGAGGCACCTCCTCCATCCCCATGCCTGGGTGCGCCTGGCCTCCGCTCAGCTCTTCGGATGCCTCTTCGCTGCCTGGCAACCAGAGGAGCTCGTTACCATGGAAACAGATGATGAGACAACGCCAAAGAAGAAGAAGAAGAAGACAGTGGAGGAAGATAACGTAGTGGAATATCTGAGGGACAACACCATGCAAAAGGTAACTATGGCAACTGTAGATTTGGGCATGTTTTTTTGCTATGGAAAGAAAGCAACAAAAGTTCAGATATGTACCATTTTCCTTTTTCAACAGAATTTAGTCCAATTTCTTCCAAACTACAGATGATTAGCATTTACCATTATGATAGTTGTTAGGTGCTTTGCTGAAGGTATATTTTGTAGTTTGAATTCTTTTCATAATTTACCATTTGGCTTTTCTGGAAGGAATTTTCTTGATGTCATGTTCCTTGTGCAGCTCCGAGACCTGTCAGCTGACTTCTGTACCCAGCTGCAGTCGTCTTACCTCGACCACGACCTTGCCAACCAGGTCATCAAGAACCTCGTCTTCCTGGCCAAGGTCATCCGGCAGGTCACCCCAGGCACCGCGCAAACCGATGACGTCACTGCACAAACTGATGACGTCACTGACCAAAGTGGTGACATCACCGCACAAACTGATGATGTAGATGAGCCACCAGCAAAATCGAACGGTAGAAAAAGAACTAAAGCTGCAACAGGAGGAAAGAAATACGATAGAACAGGAAATGCTGCCGGGAACACGGGTTTCGATGATGTCAGAGCAACAGGAAGCGATGAAAGCACGACAGTTGATGACAGGAGAGTGACAGTTTCGCTGATGTGGCTGTTGAGAAGGATGAACCGACTTGCCAAGTTTGAAGCAGCTACAGCACCAAAAGAGACCATCAAGGTGGGTCTTGAGTTAGTCAGCACAAGGTCATATAGCTCAAGGTCAAATAGCTCAAGGTCAAATCGTTGAAGAGATTCATTTGTCACGTGAAGATACAGTTATTTAGTAGTTAAACTACACAACACTCAAGCTCTAAAGGAAAACCTTTGACCTTCAATTGACCTTGAACGTTCTTCCTGTCCTGCAGCGATCCTCCGTCATCAAGTTTCTGGCGGCCGTTGCAATGGATCTTGGGACAGTCGGGATTGGTCCGTACCTGACCTTTTTGATGACCCCTGTGCTCCGAGAGGTCAACAATGCAACACCTCAGGCAGGTGAGTCAAATGGAATCATTTAATGTTTACCTTAAAGTTTGCAGAAGGGAAACATATTGTTTTTGATCTTTCTTCTTCTGTTGCATAAAGGGTTGTGCGGTGTAACGGTATATCTTCTTTTTTTCGGTATATAGAGTGTTCCGCTGAAGAATTATTCATTGATATTCCACAGTAAACAAAAAATCAATGTACATTTCTTAGACCACAAGAGTATATATTATTGCACATTATACAGTAATTTAGAATACAGAAACTTTAAGAAGGATTCATGACTTAAAGAAGCATTCATGATCAAACCACACACTGAATAGTCAAGTCTTCTCAGTGTTAAAACTCCTAGGACGTTCTTGTGTTTACTTTAGTGCCCATTGTGAGGCATTTTGCATAGCGTTGTGTTTTTCTCCGTTATGTATGAAATGCTAATTTTTATTTGTCTTATAATTGATTGTACAAATCAGTGTTATTCAGCTTGTTGTATATGCTGCGAGGCTCATTTTCTGAAAAAAACTGTTAAATAAAATAAAAGATTTTAAAAGGCACTACAGCAGGGGGCTAGTCCGCTGGTAGTGCTGTGTGTTTGACCTTCCCACACTCTTTCTCATATGTGCTGAGTGCTAAGTAGAGAAACAAGTGTGTACCATTTTTAAAGTCTTTGGTATGACCCGGCCGGGGTTTGAACTCACGACCTCCCGGTTACAAAGCGAGCACTCTACCAATTGAGCTATTGCACTGGTATGAAACCTCACTGTATTGTCTGAAACTGTCCATTTTCCCCAGATCCAGAACTGAAGAAACTTTCCCAAGACGTCTTGGAGCTGCTGAAGACGCAGGCAGGTGTGCAGCTGTTCTCCCAGGTGTACTCGCAGGTGCAACAAACAGGTGCGGCCAGGAAGGAGGCCAGGAAGAGGAGGCAAGCTGTGGAGGTACGGCATGCAAAACACCCCTCATTTCTCAATAGACCAGTCCAAAATCGGACAATCTGCATGAGGGAAATATGGAAGATACCATATTTGGATGTGGGTGATCATGATAAAATCTTGGGTAGCTGTGGAGTAAGGTCATGCAAAACACCCCTCATTTCTCAATTGACCGGTCCAAAACTGGTCCAAAATCTGAGGGAAATATGGAAGGTACCATGTTTGGATGGGGGTGGGGAGAAGTTTTAGAGAGTAAAATGTGGGTAGCTGTGGAGTAAGGTCATGCAAAACACCCCTTATTTCTCAATAGACCAGTCCAAAATCGGACATCTGAGGGAAATATGGAAGGTACCATGTTTGGATGGGGGTGAGGAGGATGTTTTAGAGAGGAACATGTGGGTAGCTTTGGATGCAAGTCATGCAAAACACCCCTAATTGCTCAAATGTCCACAATCAGAAAATCTGAGAGAAATATGGCAGATACCATGTTTGATGGGGATGACTCGGGTGCTTTTTTAGGTCTGGAGATATATAATGCATGCTTAACACCTGCTATTATAATCAACTTGTTCAAAATTTGCCAATCACAGGTAAATATGGAAGATACCATGTTTAGAAAGGTGTTAACAATTCTCTTGAATCCCACCCTCCCTCTGCAGGCAGTGGCAGATCCCAAGGCTCATGCCAAGAAGAGGATTGCCAAGAACCTGGCCAAGCAGCGAGCCAAGAAACGGAAGATGGAAGAAAAGAGGCCGACAAAGAAGAAGAAGATTCGCCTGGCAGACCTAGCCATTCTGCAATAGGCTTTCTTCAAATGATGTTATCAGTGATGTCATCAGTCACGTCATCAGTGATGTCAGTGACGTCATCAGTGATGTCATCAGTCACGTCATCAGTGATGTCATCAGTCACGTCATCAGTGATGTCATCTGTGTACATCACTATAGGATTTCTATTATTTTGTTTTATCTTGAATCATAGCCCCCCCCCCCTTTTATGTACCAATATTCAATGACCTGAACCAGCCGTCTGTCACCATGGTAACTAGTGTTGGGTTACATCATGTTGCAATTGTATAGTAGGAGGGATTTATACTCCTGTCTGACCATATATACATAACACTGGTCATCTCAATTTAGGAAAGTCACTGGCCATTTGGAATGTCAAGTAAAAATTAATATTTTGCATTCAAGTTTCACATCAGTGCGCAGGTCTTGATGTAAGGAGTATAGTGATATGAAAATTATTGTTCTGCAGTATTCATAACTTTAGATATCATTTATAGAAAATGCAAGCAGACCGACGGGTTTTTCAGCACCCCGACAGGGCTAGCAGCTACCCCGTCAGGACGAAATCACAGGACCGTCGGTGTAAAGTACTCACCCCGTCGGTGTAAGGTACTCACCCCGTCGGGGTGACACTGTCATAATCACTAAACCCGACGGGGTAATGTCACCCCGACGGGGTGGGAGTTCTGGTCAAAGAGGTGCAAAATCCCAAAACAAAGCCAGGAAAGGTGTGAATTGATCAGTCTATACACACCGACGGGGCAAGTTTACCCCGATCGGGGTGAGCTCTGATCCCGTCGGGGTGAGCTCAGACAGTCATCCAATCCAATTGATGTGCAAAATCGACATTATCAGGACAAAGAATAAGCATGGAGAGCACAATCCACACTCTTCTATCTGCCCCTTTCAGCCAACTATAAGGGTCACAAAAAAGAAAGATTCCAGAGAGCTTACAAACACATACTCACTACTCCAAAGCTAATGTCTTAAATAGAATTTTACCGACATGATCAATATTGACTGAAGGAGGCCATATAAAATAATACTTAGATTTATTTCCTTCAGTCTATTTGTAAGAATTGAGATGTAGAACACACAGGTCTTGCAAATAAATTGATCAAGTTCCTCAATTGCTATTACACTGGCCACAATATTCGGGGATCGAAACTAATGGCTTAGCAGCTGAAAACAGTCAGTCGTTCTTGTGAATATTGCCCACAAATTTTCATATGGTCATAATTGTATCATATAATGAGCAAAATGCCTTAGCTGGTCAAGAATGGGAGCAATCTCTGATAATTGTCACAAAAAAGGAAGGTTCTCTCTTTTACCTCCTTTGTCTGAGTGGAAGGAGGCCCTTTGTTATAATGTCTGTCATTCAAAATACACACTGCAAGCAGTGCAAATCAGGACTCACTATTCTTCTCAGATATTTGGAGGCATCATGATAAGAAATATGTTGAGAAACTAGGAAGTTGGAAAACATACATTAATTTTGAACCTTGGTACCACCAGGTGCAGAGTAGTTTTGTGAGGATGTCATGAAATCTTTAAACCAAGGAGCTTTAAAAAGCTTGGTGTGACTTGCTGAGAAACTTGACATCGTGTGTATTTTGTCCCATTGTTCTGTCTGAGACAAGTTAATTGGCTGCATTGTTTACTTATTGAGACTTTTTACAGCGAAAGGAGCTTTCATCAATTTTAATGAAAGCTCTTTGCAGCCACTTATAATAATAGGTAGACACACAAGCGGCCATTGGTGCCCTACAAAATAGTCTACTGAGTACATCCTACATTCATATTTCATGGCTGGAGAAATACTTGAATGATGTGTTTTTGTCTACTGTATAACTACTAAGGTCAAAATGTACTTCTGTAAATGGGGAGAAACGACACTTTGGGTGGGTGGGGACATTTTGTAGCATGGTCTGTTCCATCAAGGTCCTTGGTTCCATTTGCTGTAGGATCTCCAAGCAGATCCTATACTGTGACAAAGCTGACAGCCTTGTCACAGTAGGATCTGCTTGGAGATTATAGGTCGGTGGGTGTGATGTTTGAAGAAAAAAGTGATTTTGCCCTTCTCCGATAACTTTCTTTTCTACAGACCCTGGAGTATTTTCTACATTACAACCACAGCAATGATATACAAATGTACTAGTATTTCTATGCAAGAAGGTATAAAATGAAATTTAATAGGGAGGACACCATTACTGTCCTTTCAAAGAGTTTGCCTCAGGTGTGCAGTTCCAACTTCACGTTGACGTGCCAATTACCCCCAATTTACATAATGTGCACTGGCTTGGGTTGGCTTGAGAGTTGAGACCTTTGTTTTTGTTCAGAGAACTGTGGTGACTGGAAATGAAGCACTAGCTCCAAGCAGATCCTAAGGTGGCAAAAAGAAATATGAAATTGGCCAGGCAGTATCCATCGGCCAGAGAGGGTCCAATTTTCCTTGGGTTGGAGATAAGAAATAAAGGACAGTATCCTGACCAAGAAGGTTTATTGCAAGTCAGATATCCTGAGCTGTTATTAGATTGTGCCTGGTCAGTTTCAACCTGTCGACTCACCCAGAAAACTACAACTTTGAGTGGGTTGATTTTGCTTTTAGCAAATTTTCAGGGAAGAAGAAGGAATTTCAGTGGCAAAGCAATCAGAATCCCATAGACTTTTGAGACAGTAGGGACAGAGGGTTCAAAAAGGGGGGGGGGGGGAAATGTTAGCTTATTTAAGTCACTAAATTTGCCCACTACATGCTCAACAGTTGTGCTAGGTAGATAGACCTCTCTGATGTGCCTGGTAAATGCAACTACTTGTACATACCAGGATGCATTATTAACAAGTATCCAATGCATGAAATTTATATACAACTGGTTTCCAAACCTGGCTCATGCTAATAATTCAGTCATTAAAATCTTTAAAAAGTGGCTAAATATTCCTTAGAATCTAGCCAACATGGTTAAAGTTTACCTATTCGCTATTGTAAGCACTATTCACATGACATTAATCAAAATGCCAAACAAATGGATAAACCTGGAATTTGTTTATATTCAGTCTTTGTTTTGGTCCGTCCATATTGGGGCAAATTATTCTTGTGTTGGCGGCCATGTTTTTGACTGTGAAGTTGAAATATGATTGAAATATTGGAAAGTTGTTCCAGATTATTTCCAGTTTTGGCAACAAAATACTAGACTAAGTATATATAAATATGAGCCTAAATACTTAGACTACATTATTATATAAAGTAGATAAGCAAGAAGCCTAATATTCACAACTTGAGCCTGCTTTCAAAGCAAGGAATTATACAATCCTCTATTTCTGTCCAACAGTACCCATTCGGTAATTATTCTGCTCCAGGTACAATTGTTATGCGGGTTAAAACTAGGTCAGCTATTGTTCTTGACATGCAAATGTCACTGTCCAATTATCAACTTGATACAAATTATCCTATAAGGGAGTGTGTTACATGCCATTAATTACTGGTAGTATCTCGGCAGCTTGTACTGGGTCACCCAGGAAAAGCCAGAAAGATAGCCCATGTGAAAACTAAAGAACATTGTAATTGACTATTTGGCCCTTCATCCAGTCAGATTTTCTGCTATCTGGCACCTAACATTGCACTTGGCCATGGGTTTATAGATACATGTAGTAGTATGTGTATTTTTGTTTGCTGCATTGACTGTTAGCACCTATGAAGTATAAAAAATAATAGCAATGGTTACAGATTTTATTATGATGCATACTTCTCAAAGTCTGAGTAAGGCCACACCTATTTAATTTCTTGGTTATCGGATTTTCTAGAAAAATAACGGAGCGGGCGGAAAAAAATGAAAATAAAAACAGGCCTAGGCTTCCTATTATGGCCCAAAATGGTACGATAGGAGCCATGCAGTCCGCACACCAGGCTGGTTCAAAATTTAAACAATCATTTTGAACTTTTAATGATACCATTGCATTGAAAGATGGAATGACTGTAACAAGTAGTAAGGAAAGGACTGTTTTCAACTGTTCAGGGCAAAATATGAGCATTTTGCAGTTGATTTTGAATTTTTATTTTTATTAGCAAATCAGAAAAAAATGAAGCGGTGAATCCGTTAACCAATAAATTAACTTGGTGTGGCCAAAGTGCAAGCAAAATTTTTCTTCTTTGTCTGGTGCAGGTTAAATGTTTACTGCACCAGTTCAGGTATGCAGTGAAAAATATTTTGAGCCCTGGGGTATTCTGCTAATGAGTTTATCCATGGAGTTTGAAAAGTTGTTATCAACGTTTATTAAATTTTTAGCCATGTCCAAACTCTATTCTTAGTGTTAGCCAGGTTAGAGGTTATAACCTCCTTGCTAGAATTCATCCTACAGTGAGCTAGGTATTGGTGGACAAAGACTAGATTTTTAACCTCCTTGTTAGGACCTACACATGTACAGGATTGTACACGTCATGTACATATATATGGCACTCATGTGGAGCAGGTTGACTGGTCAATCATATCCATTCCTGCCATGTCAGAGATATCCATGACTCATTTGTATCTTTGAAGACAATGTTCTTTCATAATCCTGGAAAATACAGTCTAGAAAAACTGCAGGAATACACACAGAACTACAATAATGAAGTGATATAATAAACTGTGTATAAACCGCCATCAACCTAGAAGCAAGTTTAATGTTTAATTTTTTAAACTTCATTGGGAAATTACTTTCAGTCTGGTCTGAAGGCTTAGGCCATTAGCCCAGCCTGTTCAACCTGACACACCGACGGGGCTGTTCAACACACCAACGGGGCTGTTCAACCCCGTCGGGGTAACCTTTGAGCCCAGACTTCTCATGAATTATCACACAAACTTGCTAATTACACTGGTGTGAAGATGTGAATTCTCATTAATTCAGTGGTTTTCATGGAGTGTTCATGAGGATAATTGGATGCGGTCTGGGTGCGGGGAGGTTTTCCACCCCGACGGGGTAGAGTTTACTACTGACCGGGGTGGGCTGTTGATCCCGTCGGTGTGGCTTGTACACCGACGGGATTGCAATTTTTAAAGTGAAATATCTTGACAAATATGTATGTTTTGACCATAAAAAAATAACCTGGTACTGAGGATAACATGATCTTTCAAATGGTATGTAAAAATTTACTTTACCTGCAGAAATGGCAAAGTTGAAAATCAGGGATTTCAACATGGCCGTCTGCAAATTCGGAAAGTGACATTCCAAAATTGAAGTGACCAGTGTTACATGTATGAGTGTGTTTGAGTAAGAGTTAACAGACCATATGCAAAGGTAAACATTATGCATTTGCTTTGCAAATGTTACCTTAGTTTATATTTTGGATATGTTTCTTAATCCCTTACCATAAGCACCAAATTAATGAACTAACGGCAGATGCCAACATTTATGTAAAAGTTTGAGAAAGCTGGAACATCAGTAAGACTTACCGACACGCAAACATGACATGACATTGCGTATGAGAGCCACCATTGTTTATTCTTCAGATACTCATACATAATGGCAACTAAATGCAATCTTAAAATCAAGAAGCATGCACAAAAGAACCAGAAACCTATCACCTCTCCTTTGCCCCTCCTTCGTTTGCTGTTATTATATAGAATACAGGCATCACCCCTCAAGTCAAAATCTTCATTTAGATTGGAAAAATGTCTCCTTAAGGAACTTTTTTTTGTAATTAGCTACACGAATAATCAACTAGTAATGAATGCTATAATTCTCTCTCTATCCACTGCCATTTGGTTGATATGGAATTTAAGCTTGTCACTGCGTGAATACACTTTACAAAACGTTCAGTTTCCAGTTTTTATCATTTCGTCTGGTGAACACATCTCAGGTCATAGTACAGAAAACATGACCAGTTTTCTAGCTACCCTTGGATAAAAACTACAGAAACATGTAATAATGGATAAAAACTACAGAAACATGTAATAATGGATAAAAACTACAGAAACATGTAATAATGTATAGCACAAGTCTAGCAAGAAAGGTACGTTTATCTAAAACAAGCTTGAAAGATATTTTTTCAAAGTCTACAATTTCTTTTGCTAATGTCATACTCACATGACTTATCATGTAAAGACAGAAAAACAGCCCACCTTTCCTAGCTTTTTCTATAACATCACCAGCTGCCTACATTTACCTAAATAATACCATGTACCAAGTAATGACATGTGCCATCGCCAATAGATGCAAAATACAATAGCAACTGTTGTCATCTGATTAGTACAAATTTTACGCTTTCTTATGTTTATGTTTATTTAGTAATATTAGTGGAATTTCTGTGACTAGTTTTCTGGGTACCCTTGGATAAAAGTCTATAATTTCTTACTAATAGATTATTTCATACTCTTATCACTCATTATGTAAAGACAAAAACACCACAGCTTTTTCTATTATAATACCTATCTCAAAAATCTCCACAGATTTCCTTGCAGCTTTTTCCATTATAATACCTATCACCAGCTGACTACATTTACCTAAGTAATGACATGTACCGTTACCAATAAATGCAAAATACAACAGTAAAGGTTGTCATCTGATTATTAAGTTTTGAATTTTCTTTGTTATCTTCGTTTCGCTTAAGTTTTGCTCATCGCAAACTAGATACCATGTAAGCAGCAAACGTTACAAAAAATACTAGTAGAATAGAAAGTACCAGTAAAAAAGCTTTCAAATTTAAAAGTCTTGTTTAGATCAGGTATGCTGGATTGAATGCATCGTTGAATTTTACATCTTACAAGAAACACATGATGGTGGGATTTTATAAAATTAAAAATTTGAATGTTATTTTGAGAAAATCAGGATACAATCAGAATTTTAAAGTAGAAAAATGACCAATAAAAATCTTCCTAATTCAAGCCTTGTTTAGATCAGGTATCCTGGATTGAATGTATCGTTGAATTTTACATCTTACGGGAAATACATGGTGGGATTTTATTAACGAGTGTTGATACAAATTTTGTGATTTATAAACCCATAAAATTGTTGTTAATTGTTATTTTTCATAATGCTAACAGAAATCACGTGGGTAGTGCAAGTAATATGTTGTTTATGGCACCACCACGTGTAATTGTTATTCTGAGGCAACTTGTGGTAAATCAGATGGGCAATATTACTGATTTTTGGTTGTTTTTTTCTTAATTTTAGTGATTAATGAATTCATTGAAAATGCCGATACATGTCACGTGTTAGTGCTATACCGTACGCGTGTCGTTTATGGCCTGATCTTCAAAGACACAGACTTCAGGGAGTAATAAGCGCCTCTCCAGTGGTACCACATCACACCTTGCGCGCCTGGACAGGAGCTCCCACAGTTGCCCAGGTAGCGGCCGTTGAGGAAGGAGTAGCTGCAGGTCCTAAACCACCAGCCGCCCTGTCCGTACAGCTGAGAACAGTGGCGGCCGCTGCTGTGGGCATCGTTGTCCCTGTCCACAGTGGAGAACTTCTGCCCGTTGTTGTAACGCATGGAGTCTCCCGCGTCGCCTGAATACCCGGAAACGGTCAGCCGGTACTGGTCCGACTCACCGGACACCCTGGATGGAAATATTATATAAACTTAATAATGGCGCTCACATACTTTGTAGCACGTGGATCGATAAGTAGGCATACGTTAACGAATAATTGCGCATACACATATACACTCTCATACATATATAATACATATACATATACGCAAACACACGCACATATACACATACACACAATCACACGTACTGATTTAAATTTATCTCGATACCCTTTAGTCAATGATTAATATTTCAGGGTTCAAAACATATAAACATACGAACATACTGACAGCAAAATTAAAACAGAATGAACATACATAATCATCATAGGTTTAACAAAACGATCATGACTTAACTTAATATATATATATATATATACAACTTAACTCATGTTCAACCGGTGGATGGCCTTCATGAATTGATGTGGACTGGTCAGTGTTTTGATACTGGGTGGCAGGGTGTTCCATAGATTAATGGCGCGGTAGAGAAATGTTCGCTTTTTGTGTTTGTTTATTTGTACTGATTGACATCGTCTATGCTGCAATAGAAAGTTCCCTCGGATAAAAGCACTCTGACTAGAAATGTCTTAATGTGTATTCATTATTATTATTATATTGACAATACTTTACCTGTGGGTGTTTTACTCACCTGAAGATGTCATACGTTGCGTACCGGGTTTCTTCTTCCCAATCCTCGAGATCCACCCTGAGGGTGTAGTTCTTTTGACTTGTCAGGAGGTGGATGTTCTCGTTCCCAAGCCAGTATTCCCCGTTCTTGTTCCCAAACCCGTGCTTGTACTCCTCCCAGGTCCGGCTGAAGGGAACCGACCCGTCCTGCCGCCGTTGGATCACGGTCCAACCACCCCCTGTGTGGAAGGCACCAGAAGGAAAACAAACTGTTGCTTCAGTCGCATACCCTGACAATTTATCACGACACCAACTCAAGAAAATCCCATTGAAAAGAATTGATCAACATATTCATCTTAATTTCCTACCTCAGACACAAATTAATGAAATATGTAAAGTAAAAGAAATTTGAATGTTTGAAATAAGCGGTGCGCCAGTGTACATGTCAGATCTCCAAGACATCTCATACAGTACCTACCTGCGGTATCCATGTCACAGTAGGTTTGTACGATAGAGGAATCAAGTATGATGTAGTAGACTCCGGTTGTAGTCTGTCCTGCCGCATAGAGATCTGTGCAGTCTGACGCTAAGTGGGATAGGGAATAAGATAAAGACACTGTTTGGTTCATGATAGTGATTCTCAGAGTAGTTATGTTTATCTAGGCACATGCAGTTCATAAATTCATAAATTCAACAAAAGTCATCAGTATGGGCCATCAATTCTGAAGTCAGGTGAAATATGGTTTACCCAATAGAGACAACAAAGTGCAGGAATTCTTACCCAATAGGACAGGAGGTCCGGGTGGACCAGGGGGACCCTGCGGACCGACCGGGCCCTGTTGTCCGTCCGTCCCGTTCCTCCCTGGGTCTCCGGGTGGACCAGCCGGACAGGACGGACTAGCCGGTCCGGACGGACCAGGAGGACCCTGCAGACCGTCTCTTCCATCCCTCCCGGGGGCTCCGGACGGACATCCGAGACCTGTTCGTTTAAAAAATATGTATTTATTATAAAGGATACATGCACACACATACATACATGCAAAACACACAACACACACACACACACTCACAAACACACACACAACACACACATGCATACATACATGCAAAACACAAACACACAACACACACACACACATACATACATACAAAACACAACACACACACACACACACACACACACACATCCAAAACACAACACACACAGACACACACATACATACATACATACATACAACATACAAAGCACAACACATACACAATACACACACACACATACACATACAACACACAGAAAGGAGCCGGCATGCAAACTTTTACCTCCGAATTTGCCATGGAAGAGAACAGTGTTGGCCATCGTGTCCCTCTTGGATCTGCGGTGCACCTCCGCACTTTTCCAAAAGGTGGCGCTGTCATCACTTCGCCAGTCTTCAGTTGAGCTAGCTGGGCCCTCGGGGGAGAGTTGTTCACTGGTCTGTTAACAAGGCAATAATCGACCTTTCCGTTACAGTGAACAGCTACAGCCACACTGCTTGGTATAGACTATACTATAACGTTACTATGCCTAAACACAATCAGAAAATTACATAGCATTCACATGTTCTAGCTACTTTTGCTGGTGATAAATATTTTATTGCTTCTAAGTCAGAGCACAACAAAGCTGCCTATGTCAACTCTTAGCTTTACATACGTGCATAAACGGTGCCCATAGACTGAAGCATGACCTTGGACATATGTTGACGTTTTCATCTCCTGACACAAAACTATACAACATGAAAATATAGGAATGTTGCTACATCTGGTTACGATAGGAAAACGTTACAAAGGGTCCTGGGTTCTAGTCTCGGGTCCCGGGTTCTAGTCTCGGTTCTCAGGCTCTAGTCTCGGTTCTCAGGCTCTAGTCTCAGATTCCGGTTAAGCACTAGCCTCTACGTGTACTTGTTCCTGTGCTTGACCTAGGCTATGTATGTCGCTGCATGTGGATGTGCTGGATTTTGGTTTTAGAACCTCTGTGTATAAAGTAGTTTTCGTCCTCCACAGAGCCTGGTACTGAGGCTATACGCTGACGTCACGCCGCTCCCTCTAAATGTCAGACGACCAATATGGCGTTTCCTCATACGTCATGAGGAAATGGAGATTTCAAAAAATGATACCTTGTCGCAACCGCTTTGTTCTCTGCATACCTACACAATTTTAATACATAGAGTAACCGCACATTTCAGTACCTGTCTCGCTCGAGAGTTATTAATAGATAACTGTTTGTATCGAGGCGTCATACAGTTCGACAAAGGGATTCCGGCGACCTAAACTTTCTCTGAAAAAAACAACAACATCCTACCTTAGCTCTCATCTCATGCTTCCATTGCATCAGGTCCTGAAGCTGGCTGCCCTGTAGCACCAGCTGGTCATGGTCTCTTCCTTGTTGGTCTCGGAGATCCCCGCGCAATGCTGCTTGTTGGTCATGTAGATCCCTGTGTGATGTTTCTTGTTGGGCACGTAGGAAGGTAAGCTGATCACGCATGGAGGCGACCTCGCGCACCATGAACAGAAGGGTGACGACGCTCACCACAGCCGCGAGTCCTGACAGCGCCAGGACGATTCCTAAGGTTCGCTGGTTTCCATGGCGACGTACAGAACCTTCCGGACCTGCCTCGCCGTTCGGAAACAGCTTTTTGGACGACATCTTCGAGAAACCAGGTCGAAAATTCTTGAGAAATGTCCGACAAGACCTCGTCAGACAAAACCCAAGCCTCACCTGGATGACGTGTGTGCCCACAGATGAGGTGACGACGTGGTCGGTCCGGTTTATCTGCATCACCTGAGGCCGAACTTCACTGAAGCGAATGATTTGTTCATGTAAACAAAGCCATGAGACAAGGATGTGCGTTTTGCCTATATAGACATCAGACTTAAACTCGTAGTAATTACAACACCAATCAGACACTGCTCAAGTAAGGGAGTTTAGGTAACATTTAGGTGCTGTAGCTTTTTGCAATTGATTTTCAACGTCTCGAGTCGAATTGATTCGCTTTGATCCGGATCCGAGTCGGCTTCAAGCTTTAAAAAGACGTGTAAACCCGCTATCATGAACTCGGCCCACCGATTCCTGAGAACCTTACACATGACACACACCCTGTGAATCCTGTCCGCTGAAACAGGATTCCAAACATGGTAATAAGTCATTCAAAAGAGCAATACGAGCGGATGCCGAAGTTACCCGAAGATTGCCGAGAGCCGAACAGCAACTTCCGAGCGCGTCGGCTGCGTTCGCACCAAGAGTAGCCAGGTGGGAAAAGCCATTTTGTGTTGACGTGCCTTATCCTGGGGGCGCTCGAAATAATGACGGGGTCAAAAATAAGGGGTTAATTCTATCCCCAATCTCGAAGGTTTTTTTAACGGTTTGAACGACGCAAAGTAAGCAGAGTATTTTTTCATTGCCTAAAATGTATAGAACATGAAGAAGTCTTGAAGGAACTGTGTAAGAAGCAGCATCTAAGACTGTCACCCGTCTATTTTGTCTGAGTTGGTCTGTAACCGCCTGCAGGCAAACCGGGAGAGACGTCACTACCTGTTGGACCGGTCAGTAGGACGCTGTCATGTCACACACGGTTCAAAAGAGACACGCTGCGGTTGACAGAAGTACTGCACCCTATATTTAGGTGCTTTTCCCGCCCTAACTAGAATCATCAATAGTAAACACCAAACACCTAACTAAAAGGCATGTATTTTAACAATCCTTTGGTTGCAAAGTTGCACATGTTTGAGAGAGCAACTTTGAAGAGTGACAATTTACAGAAAATAAATGTATACCCGACAACTTATATTGGTAGAATGCGAAGGAAAACATGTGACTTATGAACTAATCTGATATTATATTTTTGACAAAATTCTATAATGTCGTAATTCTTTTATTACACGGTAACAAGTTTAAGGTCAAATTATAAGATTCTAATTATAAAACTCATGGAGATAACCACCAAAGCTAACAGGTGATGTCAATATTTATTCAAAAGTTTGAGACAGGTAAGAACATCAGTAAGAATTACTGACACGCAAACATGACATGACATTGCATATGAGAGCCACCATTGTTTATTCTTACATACTCATACATAATGGCAACTAAATGCAATCTTAAAATCAAGAAGAAGCACAAAAGGACCAGAAATCTATTATTACCTTTTCTTTGCCCCTCCTTCGTTTGCTGTTATTATATAGAATACAGGCATCACCCCTCAAGTCAAAATCGTCATTTAGATTGGAAAAATGTCTCCTTTAGGAACTTTTTTTTGTAATTAGCTACACGAATAATCAACTAGTAATGAATGTTATGATTCTCTCTCTATCCTCTGCCATTTAGTTGATATGGAATTCAAGCTTGTCACTGCGTGAATACACTTTACAAAAAGTTCAGTTTCCAGTTTTTATCATTTCGTCTGTTGAACACATCTCAGGTCATATTACAGAAAACATGACTAGTTTTCTAGCTACCCTTGGATAAAAACTACAGAAACATGTAATAATGTATAAAAACTACAGAAACATGTAATAATGTATAGCGTAGGCCTAGGAAGAATTGAACGTCTATTTAAAACAAGCCTGGAAGATATTTTTCAAAGTCTACAGTTTCTTTGCTAATTTCATACTCACATGACTTATTATTCCTAGCTTTTTCTATAACATCACCAGCTAGCTACATTTACCTAAATAATACCATGTACCAAGTAATGACATGTGCCGTTGGGAATAGATGCAAAATACAATTTAGCAACTGTTGTCATCTGATTAGTGTAAATTTTACGTGTAAGCTTTCTTATGTTTATGTTTATTAGAAACTCCATTAGTAATATTAGTAGAATTTCTTTGACTAGTTTTCTAGGTATCCTTGGATAAAAGTCTACAATTTCTTACTAATAGATTATTACATACACCTATCACTTATTACGTAAAGACAAAAACACCACAGCTTTTACTATTATAATACCTATCACCAAATTCTTCACAGCTTTCCTTGCAGCTTTTCCTATTATAATATCTATCACCAGCTGACTACATTTATCTAAGTAATGACATGTACCATTACCAATAAATGCAAAATACAACAATAAAGGTTGAAAGAAAAGAAAGTACTAGTGAAAAGCTTACAAATTGAAGGCTTGTTTAGGGCAGATATGGTGGATTGAATGTATCGTTGAATTTTACACCTTACAAGAAACACATGATGGTGGGATTTTATGAATGTAAATTTTATTAGCGTAAATGTTATTCTGAGAAAAGGATATAATCAGAGTTTTAAGACAAATTTTGTGATTTATAAACCCATAAAAATGGTATTTGTTATTTTTCATAATGCCAACAGATATCACGTGGGTAGCATAGACAATATGTCGTTTATGACCCAAGCATGTTTGATTGTTATTCAGAGGCAACAGCTTTTGGTAAATCAGATGGGCAATATTCTATTTAATAATTGTCTTTCAGTGGTTAATGAATTCATTTAAAATGCAACACATATCACACGGGTATTGCTATACCGTATGCGTGTCGGTTATGGCCTGATCTTCATAGACACAGACTTAAGGGAGTAACGCACGCCTCTCCAGTGCCACCACACCACACCTTGCCAGGATGGACAGGAGTACCCACAGTTGCGCAGGTAACGGCCGTTGAGGTAGGAGTAGCCGCAGGCCCCAAACCACCAGCCGCCCTGTCCGTACAGCTGAGAACAGTGGCGGTAGCTGCTGGCATCGTTGTCCCTGTCCACAGTGGAGAACCTCTCCCCGTTGAGGGTATGGCCGCCCGCCATGGAGTCTCCCGCGGTGCCTGAATACCCGGAAATGCGCAGCCGGTACTGGTCCGACTCACCGGACACCCTGGATGGAAATATTATGTAAACTTAATAATGGCGCTCACATACTTTGTAGCACGTGCATCAATAAGTAGGCATACATTAACGAATTAATTGCGCATACACATATACACTCTCATACATATATAATACATATACACAAACACACGCACATATACACATACACACAATCACACGTACTGATTTAAATTTATTTCGATACCCTTTAGTCAATGATTAATATTCCAGGGTTCAAAACATATAAACATACGAACATACTGACAGCAAAATTAAAACAGAATGAACATACATAATCATCATAGGTTTAACAAAACGATCATGACTTAACTTGATATATACAACTTAACTCATGTACAACTGGTGGATGGCCTTTTTGAATTGATGTGGACTGGTCAGTGTTTTGATACTGGGTGGCAGGGTGTTCTGTAGATTAATGGCGCGGTAGAGAAATGTTCGCTTTTTGCTGTCTGTTTGTTTGTTTGTTTGTACTGATTGACATCATCTCTGCTGCAATAGAAAGTTCCCTCGGATAAAAGCACTCTGACTGGAAATATCTTAATGTGTATTCATTATTATTATTATACTGACAATACTTTAACTGTAGGTGTTTCACTCACCTGAAGATGTCATACGTTGCGTACCGGGTTTCTCCGTCCCAATCCTGCAGATCCACCCTGAGGGTATAGGCCTTCTGATTGGTCAGGAGGTGGATGTTCTCGTTCCCAAGCCAGTATTCCCCGTTCTTGTTCCCAAACCCGTGTTTGTACTCCTCCAAGGTCCGGTTGAAGGGAACCGACCCGTCCTGCCGCCGTTGGATCACGGTCCAACCTCCCCCTGTGTGGAAGGCACCAGAAGGAAAACTTCAATCACATACAGTACCTTGACAATAAATGCGGCACTTATTCCTGAAAATCCAATTTGAACAAAAAATTAACAACATTTATAGTCTTACTCTCCTACCTCAGACACAGTTGAATAAAATATCTTAATGTAAGTAAAAGAAATTTGAATAATTAAGACAAGCAATACGCCAGTATGTGTGACAGATCTCCATGCCTTCTCATACAGTACCTACCTGCAGTATCCATGTCACAGTAGGCCTCCACGTTAGAGGAATTAAGTCTAATGTTGTAGACTCCGCTTGTAGTCTGTCCTGCCGCATAGAGTTCCGCACAGTCTGACACTGGGTGGGATAAGGAATGAGATAAAGACACGCGCACGGTTTGGTTCATAATAGGGAGGCACAGAATTATTTATCATTGGTAAAGGCAATAAATTCAGATTCAGAGAGTCATCATTTGGGGCCTTATTTAAGTCAGGTGAAACTTGGTTTACCCTATAGAGACAACAAAGTGCCTGGTTCTTACCTTGTACAGCTCCCGGGGTAGTCGCCATCTCTGGGGAGGGAGTCACCGCCTCTGCTGAGGTAGTCGCCACCTCTGGGGAGGGAGTCGGCCTCTCAATGCAACACTGTTGTACCAGGCAGAAACGTTCATTTAATGTATCCGATCCAATGCAGTACATGCAATACATGTAAAAACCCAATAAGATAAACCATAACCAAATTTCAGTTTAGCCATATGCGAAATGACATGTTCGACATTAACTAAAATGGCTGACTTATATTTGCGATCAGATACAACATATTTCACCCAATCACTCTCCCCATACAAACATGGGCTCTTGAAACATTACACCCTGCAATCGTGAAACATTAAAAGTATACCTCCCGGTGCATTGTACTAAGCATTTGTTAGTTTCCTAATGTTGCACGTTTACCTGTCCAGGGGGTCCGGGTGGACCGGCAGGACCCTGCAGACCGTCTCTTCCATCCCTCCCGGGGGCTCCGGACGGACATCCGAGACCTGCTGGTTTGACAAACATTCATCCATTTATTATTCAACGCATACACACACACAAACACACACACACACACACACACACACACACACACAACATACATACACACACACACACACACACACACACACACACACAGAAAGGAGCCGGCACGAAAACTTTTACCTCCGAATTTGCCATGGAAGAGAACAGTGTTGGCCATCGCCTCCCTCTTGGATCTGTGGTGCACCTCCGCACTTTTCCAAAAGGTGGCGCTGTCATCACGCCGCCAGTCTTCAGTTGAGCTAGCTGGTCCCTCGGGGGTGAGTTGTCCAGTGGTCTGTGAACAAGGCAATTATCGATCTTACCGTTATAGTGAACAACTACAGCCACAAGATTTGGCATAAACTATACTGTAACGTTACTATGATTAACACAATATCACAAAACCACTAAATAGCGCATCGCGTCCACATGTTCTAGCTACTTTTGCTGGTGATGAACATTTCTTGTTTCAGAGCACAACAAAACTGCTTATGACAACTTTTAGCTTTATATGCGGTGCTCATACTGTAGCGTGACCTTGGAAATTCGTTGAGGTTTTAATCTCTTGGTGGAAAAATAAACTGTAAATATCGGAATGTTGCTTCATCTAATCATGGAGTTAAAATCAAACCTCCTTGTATTTAACCTCCTTGATCTGGTTACGATCGGAAAACGTTACAAATAGTCCCGGGTTCTAGTCTCGAGTCCCTGGTTGTACATGTAGCACTAGTATCTACGCGTTGTTTTCAATGATTTACTTTTGCTGCATAGTGTTCAATTTTTATTCATAGGTTTTGAGACCTCTGTATAAATTAGTTGTCCCTTAACACAAAGATCGAAGCAGATTCGAAAGTTCGGATCAAGTGTATAAAAACACAAATTCCAAAAAACCGTCCATGCTCGTGATGTTTTGGCTGAAGACGTGGTGTTTTCTGAGGCTACCGTGTCCTTCTGGGCCCTGTTTTATACATCACTAGTCACAGACAATAGTCCGTCTGATCTCCAAACAGATCCCACGGTAGCAAGCCAGTATCCAATCGGCCAACAAAAACTTCGGTGGCTAATGACACTGCTTGGCCAATTGGATACTGCCTTGCCACCACAGGATCTGCTTGGAGATTAAGTCCGTCAGCATGTGGCAACATGAAGACGCCCTCCACAGAGCCTGGTACTGAGGCTATACGCTGACGTCACGCCCCTCCCTCTAAATGTCAGACGACCAATATGGCGTTTCCTCATACGTCATGAGAAAATGGAGATTTCAAAAATGCTACTATGTCGCAAACGCCTAATTTCTTGTGTGCATCAAGATTGGGCTTTGTCTTCTTCATATACATGTATACACACACAAACTCTCTCTCTCTTTCTCTTTCTCTCTCTCTTACCCCTTTCACTGGTCCCTGGTTGTAGTGACGGGTCACTGGTTCTAGTGACGGGTCCCTGGTTCTAGTGACGGGCCCCTGGTTCTAGTGACGGGCCCCTGGTTCTAGTGACAGGTCCCTGGTTCTAGTGACGGGCACCTGGTTCTAGTGACGGTCCCTGGTTCTAGTGACAGGTCCCTGGTTCTAGTGACGGTCCCTGGTTCTAGTGACGGGCCCCTGGTTCTAGTGACGGGTCCCTGGTTCTAGTGACGGGTCCCTGGTTCTAGTGACGGGCCCCTGGTTCTAGTGACGGGCCCCTGGTCCTAGTGACGGGCCCCTGGTTCTAGTGACGGGCCCTGAATCTAGTGACGGGCCCCTGGCTCTAGTCTCAGATTCTGGCCGGTGTAGCACTAGTTGCATAGTGTTGAAGTTTTATTCATAGGTTTTGTGACCTCTTTATAAACAGGATTGCTCTTTATACAAAAAAAGAAGCAGATTCGAAATTTCTACTCGGATCAAGTGTATAAAAACACAGCTTCTTAACAGCTGTCCCTTCGCGTCATGTTTTGGCTGAAGACGTGGTGTTTTCTGAGGCTACCGTGTCCTTCTGGGCCCTGTTTTATACATCACTAGTCACGGACAATAGTCCGTCTGATCTCCAAACAGATCCCACGGTAGCAAGCCAGTATCCAATCGGCCAAGAAAAACGTCGGTGGCTAAGGACACTGCTTTGTCAATTGGATACAGCCTTGCCACCACAGGATCTGCTTGGAGATTAAGTCCGACAGCATGAAGACGCCCTGCACAGAGCCTGGTACTGAGGCTATACTCTGACGTCACGCCCCTCCCTCTAAATGTCAGACGACCAATATGGCGTTTCCTCATACGTCATGAGGAAATGGAGATTTCAAAAATGCTGCCATGTCGCAAACGTTGTGCTTTCTGCCTACCTACACACACTCAAGACCTAAAGGAACCTTTTTTCAGTACCCAACATAATTCAGTATCTCTCCCTCGACAGTTAAGTAACTGTTTTTATAGAGACGACAAATGGATCGCGGCGACCACATGAGAATCCTGTTTTTCTCTGAGAAAAAAAACGTCCATTACTTACCTTAACTCCCAACTCATGCTTCCATTGCATCAGGTCCTGAAGCTGGTTGCGCAGTAGCACCAGCTGGTCATGGTCTCTTCCTTGTTGGTCTCGGAGATCTCTACGTAATGCTTCTTGTTGGGCTCGTAGGAACGTAAGCTCCCGAACCATGAACAGAAGGGTGACGACGCTCACCACAGCCGCGAGTCCTGACAGCGCCAGGACAATTATTCCATTGGTTCGCTGGTTTCCATAGCGACCTACAGAACCTTCTGGAGCTGCCTCGCCGTTTGGGAACAGCCTCTTGGACGACATGATCGAGAAACCTGGCGGAAAATTCTCGAGAAATTTCCGACAAGACCTCGTCCGACAAAACCCAAGCCTCAACTGGGTGACGTGGCTGCCCACTTTTACGACGTTGTCGGTCCACTTTACCTGCATCACCTGAGGCCGAACTTCACTGGAGCGAATGATGTTGTTAACAAAACCATGAGACAAGGATGATATTTGCCTATACAGACATAAGATTTAAATATTAACTCGTAGTGATTACAACACAAACCAGGCACAGATCAAGTAAGGGAGTTCTAAATAACATTTAGATGCTGTATCTTTTTACGGTGACCCTGCAATCGTAACCCTCCTGAGAGACTTGTACAATGGAGCAACATCAACCCCTAGACTGCACAAAGACAATGAAAAGATCAGACTTAAAAGGGGGGCACGGCTAGGCGATAACATCTCAGCCAAGCTCTTCACGGCCTGCCTCCAGGATGCAGTCGTCAACAAAATCAATTGGGACAAAAGAGGAATCAAAATTGACGGAGAATACCTCTCACATCTCCTGTTTGCAGATGACATCATCTTAGTGGCGACTTCACCACAAGAGTTTATTTGTTTATTTGTTTATTTGAATTTTTCACAAAGTGAAAGGGAGGGCAAAACAGGTGCTTACGCACCTTTACAAGTTGCCCTCCCTTACAAAAAACAATGAATGTGTAAACACACATGAACAACAACAACATTACACAGTCAAATACATAATCAATTGCAGCAATATGTAGAAATAAGCAATAAATATAACAATATGATATATGTTAAGCATTAAACAATTTTACCTAATAATAGGTGGGAGTTGGAAGAGATGCTCCAAGACATACACAATGCCGGCAAACCAGTGGGTCTGAACATGCACCTCGGGAAGACCAAGGTGATGTTCAATAAACATGCAGACAAAGCACCAGTTAGGGTAAACGGGGAGGAAATAGAAGTAGTAGACAGCTACCTGGGCAAAAAAGTAACACACGATGGAAGTCTCCTGCTTGAGATAAAGAGACGCATCACACTGGGGGATGGGCAGCTTTTGGTAAATTGGACAACATCATGAGAAGTAAGAAAGCCAGTGTAAGACTCAAGAGGAGGGTTTTTAACCAGTATATACATTCTCAATGTGATGACTTACGGCACTAACCAACACCCAGATGGAGATGCTCAGGGTTGCACAGCGGAAGATGGAGAGGATCATGCTTGAGACAGGAAAAGAAACTCCTGGATCCGACTCCAGACAGGAGTAACCGACATCATCACTGCTGTCAATACAGCCAAGCACCGCTGGGCAGGACATGTAGCGATACTACAGAACAACAGATGGACATTAAGAGCCACTGAGTGCACACCCTAGAAACGGAGGAGACGCAGAGGGCGGCCTGTACGAGGTGGAGGGACAGTCGTGTGCAACACCTGGGCGCTGCTTGGTCCAGGAATATCAGACTGAGAGGAGAGAGGAGCGAGTTAAGGGAGGGGTTCCTCCGTAGGAGCGACGATGGTCTGGATTGAGAGAGAGATTTTTGCAATTGATTTTCAACGTCTCGACGCCCTTGGTGGTTACTTTGTAATCTCCAAGCAGATGTTTGGGTGGCCGCAAAAGACAGCATCAAATTGACAAAGCAGTATCCATTTGCCAGACTGCATCCGTTCAAATATGTATACACTTTTGCGGCCACCTAAACATCTGCTTGGAGATTAGTTATTTTGAATCGAGTCGATTGATTCGCTTTGATCCGGATCCGAGTCGGCTTCAAGCTTTAAAAAGATTTGTAAACCATCATAAAATCGGCCCACCGATTCCTGAGAACCTTACCCACGAAACACACCCTGTGAATCCTGTCCGCTGAAACAGGATTCCAAGCACGGTAATAAGTGATTCAAAATAGCTATACGAGCGGATGCCGAAGTTACCCGAAGATTGCCGAGAGCCGAACAGCAACTTCCGGACGCGTCGGCTACGTTCGCAACAAGAGAAGCCAGGTGGGAAAAGCCATTTTGTGTTGACGTGCCATATCCTGGGGGCGCTCGAAATAATGACGGGGTCAAAAATAAGGGGTCAATTCTATTCCAAATCTCGAAGGTTTTTTTAACGGTTTGAACGACGCAAAGTAAGCAGAGTATTTTTTCATTGCCTAAAATGTATAGAAAATGAAGAAGTCTTGAAGGAACTGTGAAAGAAGCAGCATCTAAGACTGTCTCATGTCTGTTGTGTTTGAGTTTGGTCTGTAACCGCCTGCAGGCAAACCGGGAGAGACGTCACTACCTGTTGGACCGGTCAGTAGGACGCTGTCACCTCACACACGGTTCAAAAGAGACACGCTGCGGTTGGCAGAAGTACTGCAACCTATATTTAGGTGCTTTGCCCGCCCAAACCAGAATCATCAATAATAGTAAACACCAAACACCTGACTAAAAGGCATGTATTTTAACAATCCTTTGGTTGCAAAGTTGCACATGTTTGAGAGAGCAACTTTGCAGAAAGTGACAATTTACAGAAAATAAATTTATGCTCGACAACTTATATTGGTAGAATTGAAGAAAAACATGTGACTTATGACCTACTGTGATATTGTATTTTTGGCAAAATTCTATAATGTCGTAATTCTTTTATTACACGGTAACAAGTTTAAAGTCAAATCAGCCTCTAATTATAAAACTCATGGAGATAACCACCAAAGATAACAGGTGATATCAATATTAATGTTAAAGTTTGAGAAAGCAGGAACATTAGTAAGACTCAATGAAACACAAACATGACTTGAGAGACAATATTGTTTATTCTTCAGTACTCATGCATGACAGTAACGATCAAAATCAAGAAACCCCCTTAGGCCTTCCTTCGTTTACTGTTATTATATAGTATACAGCCATCACCCTTAATGTCCAAATCGTTATTTAGAATTCAAGCAGAATTAGATGGAATGATTCTGTCTCTTTTCTTTTGCTATTTTGGTTGATATGGAATTTCAGATCACTTGTCACTGCGTGAATACACTTTACAAAAACTTCAGTTTCCAGTTTTTATCATTTCGTCTGATGAACACCTCTCAGGTCATAGTACAGAAAACATGACCAGTTTTCTAGCTACCCTTGGATACAAACTACAGCAACATGTAATAATGTATAGCGTAGGCCTAGGGAGAATTGAACGTTTATTTAAAACAAGCCTGGAAGATATTTTTCAAAGTCTACAATTTCTTTGCTAATTTCATACTCACATGACTTATTATGTAAAGACAGAAAAACAGCCCACCTTTCCTAGCTTTTTCTATATCATCACCAGCTAGCTACATTTACCTAAATAATAACATATACCAAGTAATGACATGTGCCTTCGCCAATAGATGCAAAATACAACAGCAACTGTTGC